AATATCCTCTCACCCTACAACAACAACTGCAATATCATCAGCAAAAGGTCAACAAACAAGTACAGAAACTGTTACTGGAACAGGAACAACTGGTGTTTCAAGTACAATTACTGAGAGACCTGTACAATCTCTTGCACAATCACCAACATCTGGACCATCATCTCAAGCACCAGAAACAACTAAGGTATCAGTCACTGGCACAGAGTCCAATGCCCCATTAAGTGGAGGAACCTTGACAAAGGCAACATCAGTTGGAGCAACAACAACTGCGTCACCGCCTAGAGAGGCAGTGACATCTGGACAAACAACTGGGCCCACAGCAGCAAATAGTCAATCAGTTTCAGTGTCAGGAAGTACAGTGACAAATGGTCCTGGCACTGTGACTTCTAGTCAGACAACCAGTGTGACTGTTACTTCTGGGCAATCACCTGAAGTGAGGGAGACATCCACACCATCAACTGGGAGCACAGTGTTATCTACTGTAGTTTCAACTACAAAAACCTCTCTCCCTATGCCAACAACTGGACCTTCATCAACAGGACAACAAACAAGTACAGAAACTGTTACTGAAACAGGAACAACTGGTGTGTCTACTGTAGTTACAGAGAGACCTGCACAATCTCTTGCACAATCAGCATCAACTCAACCTTCTTCTCAAGTACCAGAAACAACCAAGGTATCAGCAACAGCCACAGAGTCAACTGGCCCATCAACTGGAGGCACAATGACAAAGGCAATATCAGTTGGAGAAACAGTAACCACCTCACCACCTAGAGAGACAGTAACATCTGGACAAACAGCTGGGCGCACAGCAGCAACTAGTCCATCAGTTCCAGTGTCACAAAATATGGTGACAAGTGATAAATTGGCTGTGACATCTGCTCAGACAACCAGTGTGACTATAACTTCTAGGCAATCACCTGAAGTGAGGGAGACATCCACACAATCAGCTGGGAGCACAGTGCTATCTACTGTAATATCAGATGCAACTAGAATATCCTCACACCCAACAACAACAACTGGACCTTCATCAGCAGAAGGACAACAAACAAGTACAGAAACTATTACTGAAAC